ACGATGTGGCCTAAATGGGTAGGCACACCACCCTTGCACGTGTTATGGATGAAATCGACTGAGTGGCGGTGCACGCGCGGGGATGCCCCCTTCTAGCCCACAACACAAGGAAAAACACGTCAACCTATTAGTAAACACCCACATTGAACAAAAGAAAACTTCTTTATCTCACTAATGTGGGACAAATCACTTTTCACTAAAATAAAGTTTTCTTCCTCTACATCTTTGCATTTTATCCAATATTTTGAAGAGGCAAAAGTTTGTATGTTTCATAGAGAGCCACAAACGATAGATGAGTAGTTGGGTATGCCTATTCGATCCTTATTTATTAGCTTATACTCTGATACTTTGTGAACTAGGTTAATATGCATCAGATTTTTAAAGGGACCTAATTTAAGTTTAGTACTCAAAAAGATAGTGTGTATACAGCGGCGGACCTGCCTTTGTGCCTGGTGGGTCAAATGACTCACCAGGGCCCAAAAAAATTATTAAGTTTCTTAAAAAAAAAAATTAAATAAATAAATTAGTTTGTTAATTATTGTGATTATTATTTTAGGTCAATTTTAAGCTTGTTAATTATAAGTTAGTATTGTAATCTTGTCAATTTTCTATTTGGATGATCTTTGTAAATAATTTTTCTTAGGAATTTTGGTAAAAATTTTTTTTTACATATTTAGTTATCGATTGTGACTCACCAGTCGGAAATTCCTGAGTCCGCCACTGTGTGTATATGAAACTTGATCCTAGATTTCGATATCATCCTTAAAATTCAACTAAGCATTAGCAAAATGCTTGGGTGTCCAATTTCTCGTTCCTCACGAGCCCAATAACATCAACGGATTCTCACCCAACAAGGGGCCCACACATTTGGGCCTATTTAATTTAATTATTTAATTCTATATTTAAATAAAATTAGGTTTTAAATAAATTACTTCAATGGTCAATACCAACGAGTGGCCACGTCAACTAGCAAGTAGTTGTAGTTAAGAGAATAATGTTTGAGTTGAGTTGTTAATAACTTTACAAGTCCAAACTCGGCAAATAGTCGGTATCCGATGAGATGTCTTATTTGGCAAAGTTTGGCCAAGTGGAATTTTGTACATGGAGAAAATTGATACAATTGTTCTAGTAATGCTATTGAGAGTAGTCATCTACAATTTCTCATCCAATAATTATTAGGTTAGCATATTGTAGATTAGCTCATGATGAAACATGAGGTAGGTTAGCAAGATTTTGTCTCGACCACGGATTAAATACCTATATCAACTTTTCACAATATTTCTATTTTCAATTTTATAAATCAAAACCACTTATAAATTATTCAATAAACATGACAATGTAAGTGAAATCTCAAGAAAACAAGTAATTAAGGTGATTTCTTAGTTCCGTAGAATTTCATCCCACTTTTCATTTTGTGTCATTCTACAAAATTCTTCTCATTTTAGCATATTTCATTTTTGTTATCTATGTGCATTAAAAATTGTGTAATAAAACAAATATGATAAATAAAAAGGAACAAAGAAAAAACATTAATAGTCAAAGTTTTACGATTTTGGCAATTGCAAACAAATAAAAAAAGGGGGGGGGTTAAAATATTACAAAAACGGTAGTAGTGCATCACATCAAGTAGGAGAAAAACCTTATCATGTGTGTTTAATAATTCCTTCGTTTTTTTCAATCGCAATTGTTCTGACCCAACCTTGGATGGTCAGTCAGTCATCAGCGCACATTTCTAAAACCTGAAGGGAAATTCTCAAATATAACCCCCAACTTCTGCTACGCACCAATGGTGACTTCCTTTTTTTTTTTTTTTTTTAATTATAAAATGACCTTAGTTAAAAATTTCATCCCATTCATAACCTTATTTCATTAAATATTAACTTTGGTTATATTTATATTTTTAAAAAAAAAAAAGAAAAATTAAAAAAATTAATCCCAACCACCAAAAATCAACCACCACCTGCCCAGCCACCATCTCCCTTCCGGCGACTCTACCCAGGTTCCTCCGATCACCGACGGCACTACCCAACTTCCCCTGACCGCCGGTGACCCTACGCCAACTCCACCTCGACCACCGCCAAGCCCTAGATTCCCAAATCCCCGCCCACAACCCTCCTTCCCTTTCCTCCTTCTCACCGTCACCACCACTAGATCGTCGAACTCAGAACGACCACTGCACCCCCAGACCGCCGAACCCAAACCACGACCAGCCCCAGACCACCAAACCACCGATCTCTCTCTCTTTCTTCTCCGCCCTCTCCTCCATCCTCTCTCGATCTCTTTATCTTCTTTGATCTCAGCCCAAAAATCAAAACCTCAAACCCTAAACCCACCACCCCTCCTCAAGACCTCGACCAAAACCTACCCACAGTGAGGCGGCGAGAATCGAAAGTCAGAGGAGAGAGAGTTGTGTGGTTAGGGTTCGGGTCTAAGCGGAGGAAAGGATGGAGGGATGGTTCGGCGATTTGGGTGGGAGGTGTCAGCGTTTCAGATGAGGGAGTTTGGTGGCTCCGGTGAGGGTGGAGGTGGTGCTGGTTAGATCTAGTAGGGATGAGAGTGGAGGTGGTGGTTGGGTTGGTGATTTTTCTTTTTTTTTTTTTTTTTTCAAAAGCTAACCATAGTTAGTTTTTTTTTTTTTTTAATTAATTAACTCTTATTAATGTTATAAGTGAGATAAGTTTTTTAATTGGAGTCATTTTGTATAATAAAAAAAAGGGGAGGTCACCGTTGGTGCGTAGCAAAACTAGGGGGTCATAGTTGAGAATTTCCCAAACCTAAATTGTTTATGTCATTTTTACTCATTTTGGACTATATATATTATATAAGTTAAGAAAAGTTTATGTAAGAGTTAATGAATTCTGATGATTGGATAAGTACAAGAAAAATAAGTTCAAAATATATTCAAATTGGTTAAAAAGGACTACTACTCAAGTTTAATTTTCAACGAAAATAAGTTCAACTTAGTGAAAATAAGATAAATGATCATTGGTCAAGCACTATTCTCTAATAGCAAAATCCTTCAATTCAAGGGAAGTAGAATAGCTTTAAGTGAGGGGCGGGACAATAGTTTCGTAATGGAAAAAAGCTTCCATTTTTAATTATAATTTCCCTTTTTTTTTTTTTGGGTAAAAAAAAACGAGAGAGAAATAGCTAAGAACGCCAATTAAAATCATTATCATCTACTAAGTATGTATTCAGTGTGAATGATAATGCATGTTAGTGTGTGTGTTAGAAACGTGAAAAGAGGACTCAATATTAAGTCCACTGAAAAGCACATTGCAACTTATAGATTGGTCATTCTTTCATCAAAAATAGAAATTTATTAAAAGTATTATTTAAAAAATAAAATAAATAACAAATAGAAGGTTAACGAATTTATCACTTAACACACGAATCCACCATTTCAACATGATTACTCGGCGGGATTTTCACTTCGTCCGACCAATTTAATTCTTTTAAAAGCAAAAAGAATTCCAATTAAGTCATCTCTATTTTGACCTGTTAATAACATTACTCTAACCAAGCTTAAGCTAATGATCTCAAAACTAATTTAATTATGTGGTCAAGTCTTACTAACCACACCATTAGTCTTCTTTTATCAATATTAGTTGAAATATGTTGCTAAAAGATGATAGATCAAATCAAATCAAATCAAATTTGAAAAGGTTTAAAAAAAAAAAAAAAAAAAGGCTTCATATTTCACTTGGGTAGTTTGAGAAAATATAAAATGGTCTTGGATAGCAAGGAGGAGAGTTTGCTCCACTTATAACTTCAAATAAGATTTCATATTATAACTAATTAGTGATTTTAGGAATATCTCTTCTAACTAATAAGGTGATTTATTTTCCTCTCATCTTTCTCCAATGTGTGTGACATCATATTGCACGTGGACAACAATGGGGTTCAACACTTTGTAACTGATGATTATTTGTCGATGGCTTGATGATTATAGTCTAAATGTTGAGAAAATCTAGAGAGCAAATATAATAGTGTAGAAAAGAGAGAGTTTTATAAAAAGAGAGAAACTAGAATATCTTATAATTCTTATTACATAATGAAGATCTTAATATGTAATATGCACGTACAACACATGGTTCTTGTCAATATGAATAGCTGACTGATTGTCATACTAGGATTTCACAAGCTTTCAAATCATCATGCTTCCTAGTCCTTTAAGTTCTATGCTCTAACAACCTTTTAATCTCAGCTGCTGTTAGCTAGGCGTGCTACTCAGCTATAATAGTCCACATTCAACTAGTGTCAATAGAAGACTAGGATACAAATCTTTGCTTCTTAGAGTTCCAAGAAACATGAGAATTACCAAGAAGCATTACATAGCTAGCTAGTAACTAATCTCCTGGTACATATATAGGCAAGAGGCCTAGGCTAAATCATAATATGCTTGTAGAGTAAGTTGAGGTGCAGCATGTGTAAGGGTGCGACTTGACCAATTGTACTAGCAATGTATCTTAATGCACGGTTTTAAATCGTTTTGGTGTTAAACCCTCCGTTTTTAGTTTTGGTGTTAAACCCTCCGTTTTTATATAAATTGACTTAGAGTTTGCACTGCATAGGAAAGATCAAGCATATACTGAGTCAAGATCAATCCTAGTGCGAGTTTTTTAGCCTAAATATTAAATATAACCTAGAAATAACCATTAAGGATTTCCTAAATTAGTAAAATTTAAATCAGGTAACAGAATAATATATATGTCAAATGAGAAAAACTAAGAATATTAGTTACAATTGTAATAAAAAAAGTATGGTTATTGATAGAGTATAAAAACATATTCCTAGGCCTCAACCACCAACTTAAGCTTGGAGTATTAAGCGCTGGGTATAAGGAGCGCCCATGTTGCATCCACACTTCAAGGTCAATGGGCTCTCGTGTGAGGGGCGTGATAGAGTATAAAAACATATTCTTGGGCCTCAACCATCAGCTTAAGCTTTTGGTTGAGTTGGTCATTTAACAGTTATAACTCTTCTTCTAGTTTGCTATATTAGTAGTGTTCATATTTGCTAGAATCTTGTAATAAACATCCTTTTTCTAATTTGTTTATTATTAATTAGGTCTAATACCAACTTTAATTTTTATATATTGAACCAATTTCAGATGAAAGGGTGAATCATTGTAGAAGCCACGAAGTATTTTTTTTTTTTGTTGAAAAGTAAAATATCTTAACTACGTGGATACAAAGTTCTATTTTTTTTTTTTTTTTATATTTACTTGACAAAAAACCTCCACCCTTTGAGCTTTACACTTAACTAAAGTTTTTATGCAACATTTTCCTTAAGTTGATAGTTGTTCTTGAAAAAAAACAAGAGATCTAATTTAAAATTCTAAACTTATAAATTGAATAAGAGGAAAAATATAACTTTAGAATTTTTTAATACGGAGTATTAATATTGACTTAAAATAGTTTCATGCACCTAAACCAAGCTTATTATTCTAGAATAAAGAAAAACGGTGTAGGATAGACTTAAAAAATCAAAAGTCTACGAAATTTCTAATTTCCATACCCTTTATTTGAAAAAAAAAAAAAGATGTGAAAACCCAAAAATACCCCGAGACAGCCACTTCTCTACTTGGAAAAATATCACCACCCAAAGGCCACGTAAACCCAAAAAAATGGGCAAATTAAATACTAGATGACGTCATCCAAGACTTAGCTTACGTAATCCTGACCCAAAAACTTTCTTCCCGGGCTATTCCTTAATTTTCTACATACACATAATGACTATATATATGTACATCACTTCATGTACTTTGCTAACCAAAATATTCTTATTTCGCAATTCACACTAGTAAACCAACACTACTTCATCGTCTCTTCATTTTCTCTCTCTAAAAATAAGAATGGAAGGTAGCACTAGCGATATTGTAATGTCATCACCCGTTGGAGGGGGAGCATCACCGTGCTCCCCCCAGTCTCCGAACTCTCCTCCTTCTTATGGCCACGGTCACCAGACAAGTTCTGGTAGTCCGCCGGTTGTAATGAGCCCGTGTGCAGCTTGTAAGATCCTTCGACGTCGTTGTGCTGACAAATGTGTGTTGGCTCCTTACTTTCCTCCTACAGATCCCCTCAAATTTACTATTGCTCATAAGGTCTTTGGTGCCAGCAATATAATCAAGTTACTCCAGGTATACATTCTATATCCTTAATCTTTATAAAGTGATGTTATATGGCTTCAGCAAATCTCATTTCCGTTTGTATAACTTTTAATCTCTCTATTCTTATAATAATCAATAAACTATACCACATATTATTATTATTATTACACAAATTCTTTTATGTGGCTGACCACACGGTTATAGGAGTTACTTCGTTAGTATTATAGGAATTAATCGATCAGTTTTAAAGGGGATACTATTCTTTATCAGTATTATATGAGTTACTCGTTCAATGTTATTAGGGTTACTTTTTAAATTTACAAGCGGTCACATGGTGTGACCAGCCGTTCACAAGACGAGTTATTATTATTATTATTATTATTATTATTATTATTATTATTATTATTATTATTATTTATTGTTGTTTTTTTTTTTTTTGACGAAATTTATTGTTGTCATTGTTAAAAGTTATACAGTAATAACCAGTAAAATGTTTTTATTACTTTATAAAATAACAACTAAATACTTTTAAAAAATATTAGAGTCAAACTCGTTTCTTGAAATTAATCCAAAGTCAATTATAATATATAGTCTAGTCGACAATGGCGGAGAATACATTAGCATAGTCACTAGGGCATGCAAGTCAAGGCGCTGCCATTGACGGAAGGTTCTACAAAGGAAATTGTAGAGGAGAACCACAACTATTACATGTTCAATTTTCTAAAACACATGTTGGTTGTTAATCTTTGTAGCTAAATACCCCATTTGTCTAACTAAAATTGTATCATACCCTTCAATTGTTTTTTTAAAGAGTTGGTTCACTCTATAGCATGCATTTTATTTGGAACTTGGATTAATTAGTATAAAGGGGAAAAAAACTACTGTGAAAGGAATGAGACAAAACTCGTTGAAAAATCCATTTGCAGGTATATTGGACAATCTTAATTGGACTGAGGAAGTAGTATGTATTACATTACCACTTGCCATCAAAAGTAAATACATTATCGAACGATGAGAAATTAACTATTTAGAAAATTCTGCATTCTTTGTATTCATCATCAATATGAGGCCAGAAAGTTATAAGATCGAAAATTCATTATTCCATGTCTATCTCCATGCCTATCAATCTTGGGTTAATAAATGAAAATGAAGGCAGTATTAGTAAAGGATAAGATCATAGAAAACTAATAATTCTTTTAAAAAATTAACAGGAAGTAGAGAAGAAAAAAAGAAAAGTTTGATTAGACAAAAATATACTAATTGTTTGACAAAGGAAATAAGTAATTATTTTTTTAAAGCGAATAAGTAAGTAATTAATTTATTGATCAAGTATAAGCTATAAACCTGAACCCCCTAAGCTAGGGAGCTAGATATTAACTATTTTAGATAAAATTTGTAGCATACATTCAAATTTTGATAGCTACTACACATTATTAATACAAGGTCCTAGGTTGGTAATCCTTGACTAATAAAATCATATGATCATATTTATAAAGTCATATTTATACATGAAATTGTGATAATGAAATTCACTTTTCTTTTTTAAAGTAAAATCACAAAGTCAAAATTACATACTTTACCAATCAAAACATGCATAAAAAAGCATGATTAATGATAAAGCGGGTTAAAATTCTACTGGTTAACATAAATATTTATTTTTCTTTGATGAATAATATGTCAATCTCAAAGAAATAATTGATTACAAATATAATAATATTTTTCACAGTAAACGAGGAGGATTTGAGACCAATGACAAGGGAACACATAACCCACTAAACGGTATCAAGTGTTAATTTCATCATGCAAAATGGTCAACTCGTCCTATCACTTTAATCAAAACTATATACTAAAAAAATAAAATTATAAAAAAAAAAAAATGTATCACTATTATAAACTATGTGGGTCAAATAACCATGCATATTGTCCAAGCATTTACAACCACAATCCATAAAAGATTAAAAGTACATTGTCCTTATATACGCGGGCACCTATAGTTGTGCACTTGCATTTTCACATTAATTTGTAGCTAGCACCCTAAACTTGATGCATTTCATATTTAGAGTTTTAGACCTTATCATTTTGTATGAACACACAATTTTTACATACTACGAAAGTCACCATTACACGGTTGTAATATTAAAAAATAGATCTATATGTAGTGATCCAATTGCATAATATATTTATATTTAATATTCTTATCTCTTAAGAAATGAGTTTTGGAGCTTGTCTAATTATACGAGAAAGGAGAAAACGATTTGATGTGCATTTTATTATTAGTGTCTTATTCTATCACAAATATTTTAACTTTTGCAATAATTTCATTCATGTATAATTTCAAGGTAATTCTAACTAGATTATGCAATAACTAAGTTGCAAAAATATTCACCAACTTGAGGGACAAAAACTGGGCTTAAATTGACCTTTTTTCCTTGGTGGGGAAGGAATTTTGACTGTACCATATATTATTGTCTCTATAATAGTTAGATGAAGCACTATTCAGAAAGATAGGGTACTTTTTATGATATGTTATAAATGCATCCATATACTTAGGATCATATATTATACATCATATGACATTTGACTAATATGTTATTTATGTGTGAATTGTTCATCAGGATCTTCCAGAATCTCAACGAGCAGATGCAGTAAGCAGTATGGTTTACGAGGCGAATGCTCGGCTTCGTGATCCGGTCTACGGATGTGCCGGAGCAATATGCCAGATTCAGAAACAAGTTAGTGAGTTACAAGCAGAATTAGCAAAGGCTAAGGCAGAAGTTGTGAACATGCAATGCCAACAAGCTAATTTACTAGCCTTTATTTGCATGGAAATGACACACTCCCAAGATGTTGTCATGCCTAACACTACGTCCTCGTCGTCGCCACCACAAGACCCGTACGAGACAAGCCCTAATAATAACAGTTTCTTGAATTTCTACGATGATAACAACACCTTAAGCTCAGTTTGGGAGCCTCTTTGGACTTAGAAGAAAAAATGATATGAACTTGATATTAGACAATTTTTTTCAACAAAATAAACCTAAAATCCTTACTTAGGAAAGACATTAAATGGGACAAAAAAAGTTGTTTCATTAAGTCATAGTTTTATTAGAAGAAGAGAGACTTTGAAATTGGAAAAAAAAAAAAAAAAAAAAAAAGAGGAAAAATGACGGTAATGCTGTCCTTTCAATGATCGCACTTGTTAGCTAGTTAGCTACGATAACTAGTATACTAATTCTTGTATCAAACTTATCTCTTATTTGGTAACCTAATATTATCATCTAATGTATTAATATATATATATATATATTTTATATAATTTTATAATTGGAGCTCTATTTTTACAATTGGTATCAATTAATTAATTGATTTATATGTCCCCTTCTTTGGAAATATATATATGTTCGTGAAGAGAACCACAAAGATAGTAATTATGGCTTGTGTTGTTATACGACTTAGCTAACATATCCAAGAAGGACTCCATCGACCCATTAATGAGCGACAGGTTGTATAGTCTTATGTAATATTGGTTACGAAATGATCATGCACAACTCATGACCAGCCAATATTTTATATTTTACCAATTAAACTAGTCGAGGTCCACAAAGGTGGAAGGGCGATACATACATGATATGGTAAAGACAAAATGGAAGCTTAATGTCAACGTTTTATGTCTCCTGACTTGGTGTTGCGTTTAGACTTCAGCAATTGTGGAAAAGTACAAACTATTCGTTCTTTTAGAATAAACATAGACGAGAAAATTCTTCTGCTGTCAAACAGTGGACTAAGAAATTTCTGTCGATGTAATAGTCTTATCGACGTTGTCATTAATCTATTCCAGCTTACTATGACTCCTAGCTAAAACATGTTCTTCTTTTTTTCTCTCTTTAACGCGGCATGTTTTAAGGTTTTAACATCTTATACATAACTAACTTAAGTTTTGAAACATCATATCAATAGAATACATAGGAAGTTTCCTGGTGGGGGGAACATGTTACGAGTGTGAACAGATAATATAATATTAAGAGTATTTTGTTCACCTTATGTAAATTAAAATAGTAAGTTATATGACTAATTTGGTATAATCAAGGTTAATTAGGGCTAATTAAGTCCAATTAGCTAGGTGCACATAAAACATGAAAATAAAGATTAATCAAATCTAATAAGTTTGATCATATAATTAAGTTCAATAGGCAGAACACGCCATTAAAAGTACTGTAAAGATCAAAACACGTTCCAATAAAAATCAATTTATTAGAATATGTTTTGAATCTGTCATGCCTCAAGTCCTCAAGTCCTCGACGACCAACCAATATGGGATTTCACTACCTGTCAATGAGTCGGGAACTCGGAGTCTGTGGGCAATGGTTATGTGGACTCGGAGTCTAGGGGCAATAGTTATGTAGGCTATATACATTTTTTGTTTTGGGACTATCTTGAGGTTTATTCTATATCTTTATAGGAGTACTATATAACTTTCTTGTGTTATTAATCTACATCATTCTGTAATACTATGTATTGTATTCAACATTTGTATAAACTCTGTAGATGCACATGACATACCTAACACATTGTTAGTAAGCAAGCGACGTAATTTTTTGCATGATTGTTTTGTTCTATGCATTAATCTTTTCCACAATTCCACGTATGTTACAACACAATGTAGCCAGTCTATTACTTGCTATATCTTCTCATCTTGATAGAAATGACAATGTCCAACCTTCGAATAACATGTTTCTTATTCTAATTTATTTCTTCTTTTCACGGCATGTTTTAGCATGTTATGTATACAAGTCGTTGAAACGTCATAAAAATGGTTTGAAATCATGTATATATTGATGTTAATATTTGTGTCGGTATGTGTTTAGTAATATAGGTATAATAAATTAACAATGCATGTCTTTTGTCCAATAACGTATATATGAATGAAGAAGTAATACTACTGACCGCAGAATTTAGTAACCCATTTTGACCGCTCACTTTATATTGTTCTAAATTCTACAATAATAGGTTTGAAAACAGAAAATGAAATCGCCTACAAAACAAAGTTTTGAGCAGCCTAGTTGTTAATCCATTGAAGAATTTGTTTACTAAATGTTAAATTATATTAAGTAAACAATTTGGCAACTAATCTTAGTTAATAGTCTTTTTTGTGTCTTTATGAAATTAAAGGTATGATGTCAACAAACACAATCCTTTTTTTGACTTGTTGTTGCTCAATTTGTATAATGACTTTATGCTTAAAAATTGATTCCACATGAATATAATAAAGTTAATTATCATTATCATCATCATCTATAAAGTGTCATTTTCATTTTTTTGATATAAGTACGTAATGGTGATTGCTTATTAGCTTACTGCAATTACAATTTATTACACACTACTCTTTGGTTTTTTTCTCTATTTGATGAGATAATTGTAATTACAATTTATTACACACTACTCTATGGTTTTCTACTATATTTGATGACATAATTGATCAAAGATTTGAATGTATTGTATAGCACAAAAAAATTACAAAAAACCTATAGCATGCCCTTTTATAAACCCTTTTTTGATGAATTTATTTTATGATTTAATGTCGTAATGTTGAGCCTTCGTGGAAAATTCTAATTAAGTTCATGCATTAAAAGACAAAATTATATACTCCGTACTTTGATATTGACAAAATTATATGTAGTATGACAAAATTATACTTTTTTTTTTTAATTTTTTTTTTATTTTTTACTTTTTGTACATTATTATAATACATTGTGAAAATTATTAAAAAAAAATAGTACAAAAGTCTAAACATTGCAATTATATTACTTGTAGAATAGAGAATAAATAGTTTAAAGTCTAAATATTGCAATTATATTACTCGTAGAATAGGGAAAAATGCACTGTATATTCTTGAATTGGTGATTACAATTTAGGTAATACACAAGAGAGAATGTAACAACTCCAAAACAATAACCATCAATGTCAAGCTCTAAAAGTGATTTCACGTGTGATATTCAAAGAAGGAAAACTTTACTTTGAAACAATAGTCGAATTCATCATCTTAACTTAGTGAACTAATAATGATACACAACACAAAATCTTTGTCCCTCGTGTCGGTAAAATTAATGAGAAATTATGGAAGTCTACTTTCTTAAAGCATCTATCATATCGCTTTTGTTGTGCATGCAAGGAGACAACAAATCCATTTTTCATTATTATCATATTATATATGTTCATATTACCAAATTTCGGTTGGACTTTCATAGAAAAAACACCCTAAATGTTAGATTGTGTTTAAAGCTTAATTAATATTTTTTGTATTTTGTAATTAAATTGCAACCGTGTAAATCTATAAGGTGTTATAACATCAAAATCAAAAAGTCAAATAATTTTGTGAAAATTTAAAGATTATAATAATGGGGTGATAAACAATTTTTTATACTATACCCCTTTTTTTTATACCCTTAATTAGTTTCCAATTTTTGTATAAAAATTGTTTTTTTATGTACTACCTCCATTTCATGTTAGTTGTAACTTTGGGCTCGACAAGGATTTTAAGACAAAATTTCATAATGGTTGATTAATGAAGTAAAGAATAGTAAATTAAGGGTAGGAGAGAGAAAGTGAAGATAATTAATAAATTGACCACCACCACCAACAACAACCACACTGCAACCATCGCCTAACAGCAGCCACCACAAAACCACCCACTTCACAGCCTGAAACCACCCACACGCAGCCCGAACCACCCACACGTAGCCCGAACAACCCTAAAACCACCAAATCTTAGCCACCACCCCAAATTAGCAATGATGGTGAGAAAGGAACACTTGAGGTGGTTAGATGCGGCGGCAACTTTGAATATGGTGATAAGCAGTAACGATGTTGATGGTGGTGGTAGATGCAGTGGCGACGCTGACGGTGGTGGTAGATGCAGCGGCGACGTTGACGGTGGTGGTTAGATACGGCGACGACATTGAGAAGGTGGTGTTCGTGGGAGTTGATTCAATTGAATGATTTTTGGAATTGAATTGTTGATTTAATTTATGTTTTAGATGAGTTAAATTAGGTGAAAAATATTATGTTAATAAGTTAGATTAAGAATTTAATAAAATCTGATTTAGGTAGTTAATTGTGTTTATGAGTTCTTTAGTAAGGGTATTTTTGTACTTTCATTTAAAAAACTTACTAAAATAAGAAAAAAAAATGGAAAGTTGGAACTAATATGTATCACCCCGTTTTGACAAAAGTTGCAACTAATATGTAACGGAGGGAGTATAAAAAAAAATTTATACCCGTAATTAGTTTCACCATGCGCCAAAATAAGCTGTTTGATTAAATAAGCACATTAGTGAAGTTGTCATTGGATTTTAGGCTTCCTTCCCTAACTGTTAGTGTAGTCTCGAAATTATTACTACCTTTGTATTTTATTATTTGCAAGATTGTAATTGGTAAAATGAAGAGAGAAAGCTAAAGATGCATGTAGTTAGGAGAAAGATATGTCGACTTAAAAAGGAAAGAAAACATTTGTTACGAATAATATGAAACATCCTTTTTTTTGGCAATTATTACAAATAATATGAAACAAAGAGCAAAGTATATACAAAGTTTTTGTTTTTTGTTATTTTATTTTTGATTTTTTCGGTTTTTCTTTTTTTTTTTTTTTTTTTTTGGTTAATGTGTAGCCTCACTTTGTGTTCAAATTTCCATCTTTATGTTTATTTTGTCGAAAAGTTTAGGGTGACTCAAAATTGGTCGTCGAATATATGTATGTGATTAATGATATTGTAGCACATCATCAATATTTACAGAGAATATAAAATTATTACAGAGTATATGATATCATTAAAATTATAACATACTCCGTTTACGACAATGAAAACTTAATTAAGTTGAACTAATTTTGTATGAATATATCGATTTTATTTCAGCTTATTTGACATTATTCGAATGAATTTTACAAAGTATAAATATGTTCTTAAATAATTTAAAGAACACAAACTTATTTTTTGTCAAAAAATTAAAAGCATTATTCAAAGGAATGATGTCCTTCGTACAAGTGTATTATTCCGACAGAGGGTTTAATTTGAAATTAATTCGGAAAGCTAATTATTCAGTGAAGTCAAGTGATCAGAATGCCTAGCTAGAGGCCGCTTCCGATCAGTAAGATTAATATATAATTAATCTTACAGCTTGCTCTTGATTGAACCCTACGAGTCACACCCAATCGTGTAACCAAAAAAAAGGCGACGAATTAATCCAAAGGATTAAATAAGTCGATAAGGATTTT